GGCGGCCATTTTGGAATGCTTTCCCAAATTTCACACCTTTTTGATGGTTTACAGCCTCTGCATTTGAACAAACTCCTCCTAGGGATTTCACTCAATCGGTTTCAAACTTGGCCATTTTGTTCAAAAGGCATGGGGGACGAAAAGTTATCTAAACAGTGCGTTTCGGAGCATGCTGAAGGGGCGGGGGCGGGGCCAGACCTCAAAGTTTGACATCTCGCCATGAAAAACGAAACGCTAATAGCTCCTACACGAAAATTGACTGAAACATCAAACCTTCAGTGATCGATCCACATCCCCTGCAAGACTTAATGGTCAAGTCATGACATCACTTAAGCCACACCCCCTGACAACAGGAAGTGTAAATTTTTACGTTGAACAGTCCCTATCTCACCCCTGTAACGTAATCAGAATGATAGTGTGTCCAGTGACCGAAGGCATGTTGGTGTAACTTGCTTTCCAACACTGACAGTTTTGGGTGGAGCATGTGGGCGGCGCGGTGTGGCGAAGTAAGACGTAACGCCGTCGCCATACGTTTGGCTCTAAATTCCACAGATTTGAGCCGAGGTGCACCAAAATCACTATGATCGATCATTATACACCCCTTGAACAGGAATCTACGATAAGTGGCCAATAGCTTCCACAGCGCTATATGGAATATACCCTAGAATAATTTAAAACCTCAGCCCCAAGCCAATTTATGACCAATAATTCTGAAACTCTATGAACATCTGTATCTTTTCAGGACCTATGAAAAAGTCTCTTGTAGCCCTGGTTCAAACTCAACAGGACGTCGGCCATTTTGGGTCAAAGGGTAATTTTTGGGCGTTTCTAATTGCGAGTTTTAACAAACACCTCCTAGGGATTTTGATGGATTGCCTTGAAACTTGGTTAATATGTCCTTAACACATTGGGGAGTAAAAGTTATCAAAAGCTTGTGTTTTCGTATATGTTAAAGGGGCATTGCCAGGCCTCAAAGTTGCACTTCACGCCATAAATTTCCAAATGCTATAACTTTCACAATGAAAGACCGAATTGCACCAAACTTGGCATGACTCATCCCTGTCAGATGCCCAACGATCCACTGTTGTCATATTTTGAGGTCATCAAAGCCCCGCCCCCTCAGAACAGGAAGTCACTTTTTTTAATTTGGAAAGCTCCCTCCCTGACATCCTTGACCTAATCAGGATGATCCTGTTTTAGAAGACATTTAACAAGTTGTTCTGACTTGCTTTAAAGCGCAAACCATTTTCGTTGGAGAATGTAAAAGGTAAATGGACTGTACTTATATAGCGCCTTTCTATTTTATTTCAAGATTCTCAAAGCGCTTTACACCACAATCTGTGTCCTCATTTACCCATTCATACAGCACTCTACTAGATCTCTACAAAGCTAATTGAACAAATCATTCTAATGAGGCTAATCAGTGCTTTAGATCACATTCATATACTGATGGGACACACATCAGAGGCTATGAGAGGTTCAGTGTCTTGCCCAGAGACACTTCAGCATGTGACTGCTGGTGGATTCGAACCCCCAACTCTCGTATTGGAGGACGACTGCTCTAACCACTCAGCCACAGCCGCCCGCTGTGGGCGTGACGACGTGACAAATTCAGAAGTGACGCTGTTGCAATACGTTTGGCTATAAATTCCACAGATTTGAACCGAGGTGCACCAAAATCAGTATGATCAATCATTATCCACCCTTTGAACAGGAATCCATGATAAGTGGCCAATAGCCTCCACAGCACCACCTATATTATTCCTACAGTTATATCTCAGTGATACATCATCCGATCTGAACCAGATTTATGGTGCGTCATCAGTGAGCATGTCTAGACACATTGACGTTGTGGTTTAGCATATGACTCAAGTTTGCCCCCTAGATTATTCCAACAGTTATAGCTCATTAATACATCATCCAATCTGCACCAGATTTATTGTACATTATAAGTGAGCATTTCTAGACACATTGGTATTGTTGTTTAACATTTGACTCGAGTGCACCCCTAGATTATTCCAAAAGTTATATCTCAGTGATACATCATCCGATCTGAACCAGATTTGTTGGCGTAATCAGTGAGCATTTGGATACACATTGGCAATGTTCTTTAACATTTGACTCCAGTGCACCCCCTAGAGTTTTCTAACAGTTATATCTCAGTAATACATGATCTGATCTGAAACTAATTTTTGATGCATGATAAGTGAGCACTTCTAGACACATTGGTATTGTTGTTTAACTTTTGACTCCAGTGCACCCCCTAGATTATTCCAACAGTCATATCTCAGTGATACATCATCGTATCTGCGCCTGATTTTTTTTTTTTTTTTTTGCTTCATCAGTGAGCACTTCGCGACACATTGGTATTGTTGATTCATGACATCACTTAAGCCCCATCCACTCAGAGAAGAAACTGTTGATTATTGGGTGACTCTTCCAGCTTAGCCCTGTGTAAGATATGACTGAAACTGTAACTGTTGATTACCACGACATGTTGAAAAGCATAAAGGAAGTGCTCGTTAAACATTCACAACAAAACAGGAAGTCACAATTACTCCTGTCTGGAAGGTTGGATTTCATGTATACTTGTAAGACCTGGAGCTGGACTAGTACTGACATGGACAGAAGGCAATGTCAAAGATTCAGGAAATGCACCTCGTGGTGAACGCGTGCGGGATTGGCACAAGGGCGTTCGCGATAGTGACTGGGTGGAGTGGCTGGAGCTTGCGCGGTCGCCGTATGGCTGGCGCTGCACTTTGCCGCGAGGGCCTTGAATGCTGCTTGCAGCTTTTATTTATTTATTTATTTTTGCTTTGTTTGTCTAAACCAGATGGATTTTAAAGGAACTTTCAAAAAATAATCATTAGATGAACCTGGTTAAAGATGGCTGCCACAACCAACTGACCGTAGAGAGCATAAATTCAAATTCAATTTAATTCAATTTGTTTAAATAGCGCCAAGTCACAAGAGAAGTTGTCTCAGGGCACTGAACAGAAACATTCATATATATAAAAAGTAAGTTAATAACACTATTTATCTGAGCAGCATACTGCTTTGAGTTTAACTTCATCACAGTCTCCCATCCTAAGAGAGCACAAATGCAACAGTGGGAAGGAAAAACTCCCTCATGAGGAAGAAACCTTTAGCAGAATCGGGCTCAGGACAAGTGGTCATCTACTTCAACTGGCTGGGTTTGAGAGGAACAGGAAGGAGGAATGAGGATACACAATGGCAGGTCGAGAATCACATGTTAAGAAAGAATAATTACAAATCCAAACAATTAATTTGATGGAATAAGGTCAATTTGTCCTCCAGTAGTCTTAGGTTTATAGCAGCATAGGATAACGAATAGGTCAGAAAACCAAGCTGACTAACTATAGGATTTATCAAAAAGGAAAGTCTTACGCCTAGTTTTAAAACTGGGCAATGTGTCAGCCTCACGGACAGAAACTGCAAGTTGGTTCCACAAGAGAGGAGCCTGATAAATGAAAGATCTTCCTCCCATTTTGCTTTTGGAAACTCTAGGAACTGCAAGTAAGCCTGCAGTCTGAGAGTGAAGTGCTCAGTTTGGAAAATATGGAACAATAAAATCTCAAATATAAGATGGAGCTAGGTTGTTGAGAGCTTTGTAGATTAGAAGAAGGATTATGACTTCAATTCTGGATTTGACCGGGAGCCAATGGAGAGAAGCTAAAACTGGAGAGATATGATCTCTCCTACTAACTCCAGTTAAGAATCTGGCAGCAGCGTTTTGGATCAACTGAAGACTTTTTGAAGAAGTGTTTGGACACCCAGATAGCAAACCATTGCAATAGTCCAGTATAGATGTGACAAATGTATGAACCAGTTTTTCTGCATCAATTTTAGATAAGATGTTTCTAATTTTAGCGATATTACGCAGGTGGAAGAAGGCGGTTCTGTAACGTTTTTAATCTGGGGGATAAAATACATGTCCTGATCAAAAATAACACCAAGATTTTTAACATTAGAGCTGGAGGACAGATTAATGCCATCCAAGGAGGGTGAAAGACTGAAAAAATTATTCCTAAAATATTCAGGTCCAAAAACCAAAACCTCAGTCTTGTCTGTGTTCAAAAGCAGAAACTTTAGGGTCATCCAGGTTTTTATGTCTTTAAGACATGCATGTAGTCTAAGTAACTGATTGGATTAATTGGGTTTAATGGAGAAATGTAGCTGTGTATCATCAGCATAACAATGACAATTTATCCCATGCTGTTTAATAACTTTACCTAATGGAAGTGTATACAAGGTAAAGAGTATTGGTCCAAGCACTGAACCTTGAGGAACTCCATGACTAATGTGACAAATGCATGAACCAATTTTTCTGCGTCATTTTTAGATAAGATGTTTCTAATTGTAGCGATATTATGCAGGTGGAAGAAACATGGCTATACTGTAACTCAGTCAACTTGACAGATATTGAGCTAGTATCTGATGTGGTGGAAGCTGAGAGTCATTTAGTCTTTGAGTGCAGTTTAAGCGTAATGTTATTTTTACAGTTTGACAAGAAACAGTTTTTTTTTTTGTTAATTGTCACCATAAGATGATCTTAGTTTATTCATCTGGGATGAAAGGCGTTGGATGAAGCCTGTAATTAATTTCTGTCTTTTTACAAACACTCTGCGACCTCCACCATTTGATTGGTTCAATGAGTAGTTAAACAATTGCTGGTAACTCTCTTGCTCCTCATGATTTTAATTATTTTGTACTATTTAATAAAACAGAAATGTCATACGAGGGGAAAAAGAAGCCAAAAAAAAAGTAGTTTTTTTTTTTTTTTCTTCTTGAACTCTGAGGAAAATAAGTGGCTCAGCACTCCCAGATGCTCTCCACAAGTCTTAATTCTTGTCTCCCTCTGCTTCATGCTTTGCATTTCAAAGAGCACTGGTGCTTTTCCAAGGGTATCCAATTAAGTCACTAACTCAGGATTGTTTTTTTCCCCCCTTCTCCCTCTTGTTTTCTCCCAACTTTGTTAGGATAACGTTACTGATCAGACGTTCCAGAGGGCTGAGACGCTGTTGAAGAAGCTGGGAACCAGGGACAATGTCAAGGTGTTGTATTAATTGTCTCAAACGGTTTCATCCAGCTGAATAGGATGAAAGTGTTCAGGGTGGGAGAGGTGAAATTAGCTTGGAATTTAAAGGCAGTAGCTGTTTTGATTAAAGGAAAATGGAACACAGAGGCGGTGAAACACAAACGTAAAACCTTTCTGCTTATCCTTCTGGGCAAATTACCTACTCATGAAGTGGGATGCCACAACTTTCTAATTAATAATTATGCATCCTAGAGAGATACTTCAAGATCGTTTGAAGTGGGGTTCTGTGAAAAGAAAATTAACAGAAATATCTTAACTGTTCTAGATAGCTTGGGTTCAAGTTTAACTCGGTGGTCAGTGCTGCGGGCTTCTAATCCTGAGGCCAAAGTCTTGAGCCCAGGTATCTGGAAGGTTATCCGGGGGTTCTTGTTCCGATTTCAACCGAATGGCAGCATAAGAAGAGCGCCCCTCCTTAAAGATTTTAATAAAACTCCTGCAACCTATTCTAACTACTCACAGACTTTACTGCAAGATAGCAAGCGCAGGACAGGATGGAAACAAGAGAGAGAAACTAGAAAAATGCTCCAGACACGTCTGACGGTGATGACGAACCGCAGCACATGGATAGCTATGCTAACACTAAAGACGGACCCGGAAAATCAAAAAGTAACAAAAACTCCAAAGTTAATCTTGAAATTATCCTTCGTGAAATACAAGAATTTCCAAAACAAGAATTTACAAGAAAACAAACAACATCTAGATTTTTTTTAAGAGAGGACATTAACAAAGCGAACCAACAAATTGAGGAAGCCGAAGAGCGCATCGTGGCTGCGGAAGCGTAGCTAGACACGGTCGAGCTAGCAGTGAGAAACATGCTAAAAACACTGACTCAAAACGAAGACAAGCTGGTTGACCAAGAAGCATGAGCGAGGAGAAAGAATATACGGATTTTCAATGTACCGGAGAACATAGAACAAGGCAAATGGATGATTGAATATGTAGAAAAACTCCTTCGAGAGAAACTGATTCTTCCTGACTCCTACGAACTCAGCATAGAAAGGGCGCATAGAGCTCTAGCGCCAAAACCAATGGGAGCAGCAAAGCCAAGATCGATCGTAGTACAATTCCTGCCGTACCGTACAAAGGAGGAAATACTGAGAAAAGCATGGGAGAAGAAGGAAATCTACGTCAACAACCAGAGGGTATACTTCGACCATGACTACCCTACCGCAATTCTAAATTGCCGCAAATAATACAACGAAGCAAAACAGGTGCTGAGGGAGAAGAAGATCCGTTTCCAGACTCCATACCCAGCAAAGCTCCGCATCTTCTACAAGGATGAAACACGCCTATTCCAAACTGCACACAATGCTACAAAGGACATGAATGACCGAGGATTTACAGTCTAGGTGATCCCACCGCGTCAAGACCTGATGAAGCTGCTGGAGGGGGAACCATGGCGCGTCGCCGGGAGAGAAAGGAGCATCCACCAGGAGCAGCCCACCGGACAAACTGGCGCTATATCCAGACTGCAGGCTTTCAGAAGACAGCCCCCAGAATGAAAGAGCAGCGAAAACACCTTTGAGTAAACATATTCTCTGTTTCCTCACATTTCAGCAGTTATCAGGAGGACCAGGACCTTTAAAAGGTATGGACACTTATTCTAGGTTGCCATGGAGGGTCCTTCCTCTATTACCATTGGTTAAGGACTTCCCTCCAAGTTCTGACCCCAACCCAGGTCAGAGCCATAAGGAAATGATCTTGTGTAAAGCCACATACACTTGAAAATGAACCATGCTTATTTGTCATAGCTTTGGTTAAGCTATACCAGCAAATTTTGTCTATGAGGTGTGCTATGCAAAATGTTGATGTCAATATCTGATCAAAATTTTAAATAAAAAAAATTTAAAAAAGGAAGGTTATCCGGTGTGAAACAAATTCAAAATCTTTTGGGAGTTACTCACTGTGGTGACATCTGAGGAAGGGAGCAGCCGAAATTTAAAAAAGCCTGTTGTAGCTAGCAAAGTTAAGTCAGGTCGTAGATGTTTTTTTTTTTTTTGTTGTCGTCGTTGAAACGTTTCGTCTTCATCCAAAGGACTTCATCAGTCCGAGAAGCCACAACTCAGTCCCATAAAAGGCTTACTCACATAGTGGGGCAACCAGTTTGCTAGTGATAAGATGGTATCTGGAGTCCGCCCTCTCCTCCGTGGACTCCTCTGAGGCAGCCATAGCCAAAGTCAAACATCAAAGTTCATGCTCAATAATCCAGGTAAAAAAAATCCAACAAAGTTCAGTCATTAAGAACTTTGATGCTTGTCTAATACTTTGTGTTAGGAAACCACAAAAGCAATGTATATATCCTGTATAATTTTATCTTGATCTTCTCAGTATTAAACTTCAGTCATATCTTCAAAACATTAATTACCTAAATGAAATTTAAAACAATGACCAAAAAAAAATGAACTAAATTGTTTTGGGTAAATCTTTAGCCATACTCAGAATTATTTTCTTTGTATTTTCAAACATCAACCATTTGAACATGTTTGCTACCTAGTGGTGGATCGTGGGTATTTCATCATTTTTACTCAAA